CCCAAGAGGGCCCAAGAGGCCTCCAACACGCCCAAGATGGCCTCCCAGACGCCCAAGATGGCCTCCAAGACGGCCCTGGAGCATTCCAAGCGGGCCCCAAGTCGGCCCATAGAGGCCCCCCAAACGGCTTCCGACGGCTTCAGACGTGCCAGGAACCCACCAAGATGGCCGAAGTTGGCTCGAAGCTGGCCCGAGACGGCCCAAAAAGCCCCAAAGATCGCCCAAAGCTTGCCCAAGAGGCCTCCAAGACGGCCAAGATGACCTTCAAGATGCCCACGTGTTCCCCGAAGGCTTTCCAAACCGATTCGGGGAACACGTGGTCCGATAGCTTGGCAGGTCTGGCCTCAACGTTCGGCCACATAGGCGCTTCCAAAAAGGCAGGGGGCGGCGGTGATTCGCCGTAGGCGTCTTCGATAAATAATAAGTAGTAGTAGTAGTAGTAGTAGTAGTAGTAGTAGTAGTAGTAGTAGTAGTAGTAGTAGTAGTAGTAGTAGTAGTAGTAGTAGTAGTAGTAGTAGTAGTAGTAGTAGTAGTAGTAGTAGTAATAGTCGTAGTAGTAGTACTTGCAGTAGTAGTACTAGTAGTGTTAGTAGTAGTGCCAGTAGTAGTGGGAGTAGTAGTAGTGCTAGTAATAGTAGCAATAGAGGTGGTAGTAGTAGTAGTAGTCGTAGTAGTAGTAGTAGTAGTAGTAGTAGTAGTAGTAGTAGTAGTAGTAGTAGTAGTAGTAGTAGTAGTAGTAGTAGTAGTAGTAGTAGTAGTAGTAGTAGTAGTAGTAGTAGTAGTAGTAGTAGTAGTAGTAGTAGTAGTAGTAGTAGTAGTTAGTAGTAGTAGTAGTAGTAGTAGTAGTAGTAGTAGTAGTAGTAGTAGTAGTAGTAGTAGTAGTAGTAATAGTAGTCGTAGTAGTCGTAGTAGTCGTAGTAGTAGTAGTAGTAGTACTACTACTAGTAGTAGTAGTAGTAGTAGTAGTAGTAGTAGTAGTAGTCTCCTCCTCTGTCCCCCTCCTCCTCCTCGTTGGATTTCCTTTCGAAGGCTTTCGACATCACGGAGGCTTTTCGTAGCACGTTCGGAAAAATCGTGGGGGACAGACGAAGCCCCCCAAGAAGCGACACCGCAAAGGCACCCCGAAGCTCGAAAACCGACGAGAACTTACGAACCATCCCCGAAACACCAAAAAAAGCCTGTCCCTGATGGCCCCCGCCGCCCGCCGCTCCCAGCCCCCAGCCGCCACTGGCCGCCAGCTCAAGACGGGCGCGCTGCGCAAGCGTTGCCAGCACCGCATCGGAAAGTCGGATCGAGCCGAGATGGGCGCCGGCTCGTGCTGCATCGGCACGGGGTCGACCTCGAGTCGGATCGGCTGCGACAGGATGCACAGCATCGCCATGAGGCTGTTTTTCACTCCCCTCCCGTCACGTCCGCTCCAGAGGGCCTGCGGGCACCACTGTTTGTTTACGGGCACGTCGAGAACCCCGCGACACAGGAGGGGAGGAGGGGAGGGCAGTCCGGCAACAGATTGCCCCCCTGGCGGCCCGGGCCGCTCAGCCAGGCGCGCCGAGGCGGGCACCAGGAGGAGCACCGCCGCCGAGCACGACAGCACGCATGTGCT